TTGCACAACAAAATCATGTAAATATATTATGTAAATAACCCAATTTGTGTTCTGTGAAACTAAAAAGGATATCATATATTATTTTGAAGGACAGTTGACAGGAAGTTGTTGTTGTTATGGAAACAACATTACGGAGAAAACGTAATATTTTCTACATATAAAGACGGATAAAGTAAAGAACAAAGTCTGAAGATATCAGTACAGTATCATAGTACTGTAACATAATTGTTTTTGGTACGTTCATTGCAGTTGTATGTCTTAAATGTAATGTAAATGTTGCCTTCGTGTGTGGTTCGGGGCCATCTTCGTGCGAAATTCACAATTCCATATTCGTGTGTCCATCGGGTGTCAATTTCGGGACAGTGTGACAGGGGCTTAAGTGATGACACACATAGTATTTATCAGGTACAGCTGTCTGCCCACATTGAGGAACATTGTATTCAAGTATGCCACAAACTAAGATGTCACTAAATCAAAGACAAACCGTACCTTTACAAATGATGGGATTATTGAGGCGGATCGTGACATTTTAATTTATTTTTTAAGCAAATAAGGGGAACAAGCGCACTCGCTTAACCCAGCGATGTTCAGGTTTTGGTAGGTTTAAATGTAAGCAATATGTTTGACTCTTCACAAAAACTAATTCAATCACTTTAGATGAAATGCGCTGAGTAGAAAACTGTGTCCCCGCCCCTCTCAAAAACTATGCATCTTCGTTTGTATCGTCTTATACCTTTTACAACCTACACCCATTAGCTCCTATAAACCATACACCTTATTGAAACATCTCCAGTTTTGACAAAGAACAACATCTTCAATTATGGCTGGTACTTGCTCTCACAAAATGAAAGTGAACAGATTTATCACATCATGATGCACAGGCACTAATATTCAGATCATGCAAATCCAGAGGCATCATAACTCACCCTGACATATTTATTTTCTCATTCATATTAATTTGTCTCCTCCAAACGCAATCTGTTTGTAATCATTGTAATCAATTTAGGTAGCTACATGTTGACATTTGTTGACATTTTACATGTTTGTACAGAACAACAGAGTGCAGCAAGGAGGAGGAGGAGAGACAGAGCACTGGAGGAAGGGATGTTTCCAGAGAGGAGATGCCATCAAGCCTTCTGTTATTACAAAGAGATTATGCTTAGAGGCAAACATCTTCACAGTGCACCATTCAGTTCATGGTGCTAGTTTCTGAATTATGTTTGCTCAATTGTGTAATCTAATATTCACATTTAACTTGAAGCAACATAATTCAATAACCTGTGCTTTGGAAGTCCCAATAAGGCAACATGGAAGTGGCTTAAAACTGCATTCTTTGGGGGGTTGTCTAGAAGTCTGAGAAAATGTTTCTACTTCTCACTATATTTATGACCTTAGCAAACATTTTCCTATTGAGTTTATGGTCTAAAGATCTAGTTTGAATTCTCTTCAATACAGCATGATGTTTATTTCTTAGATTTTAGTCAAATCGACGATAAAGCAGGGCATGCTTTAGGATGTGGCAACCTTTTGATTGTTCTAACTTTGTTTTCAATTCATAGAAGTTAACTGTAACATTTTGAAAATAAGTCCTCTCATGTCACTTCTGCTTCCAAACAAAAACCAAGATGGCGATTGCCAAAACACCAATTTCAAGGCTTCAAAACTATTTTACACAAACTAATGGGTGATGTAGCTCAAAGCTGCCAATACAGAAAAACAAGCAAAGTACATGCCTCTACTTTGACATTTACGATCAGGTTCACTGGTGATGATTGACACTTTGTAGTCTGTAAGTCTGTAATACTTACGTGTTATTAGACTTGAAATATCCTAATTTAATGGCTACAAGCACTGCAATGACAAATAACTATCCACTGAGGTCACCTGAGACGGAGCAGCTAAAAAATAATAAAGTTACATTACACATAAACATATTTTACGAGGGGGGATGAGGGTTTATCTGTATTCTATTTGATGTATATAATGAGTTGATATTTAATCATGTGATAACTCTTCTGCAATACTTATTAGGTTATGTTTTGATCACTCATTTATGTTATCTTAAGAAATATAATAATGAGTGTTAAAATACATGAAATGGATTATTAATGAAGCTGCTATGAAGAGCATGGCAATGTTATATTGCTCTACGATGTGAGCATTTCAAATCAGTGTAAAATCACTGCATATGCAATAAATCAATGCTGAAAAGTGCAGACGAAAAGTAGAGTGGAGATTGTTTTCTCAGCTAAAAGGTTTTTTAGAGGAAAATACATTTGACCATAACAATCAAAGGTGTGCATTCTTATGGGAGCATTGACCTGTTTAATCATAAGGAGAGATTTTGGTTGCACAGTTGACTTTTGACCTGGGACCAGACCACAATTGGACTTAAACTATCATCCTTTGTGGAAGAAAGTATATTGGAATTTAAGGCAGCACAAGTAACAACAAAAACAACTTATACCTTAAAGGTGGGGTAGGTAATTCACTTCAGAAACACTTTGTTATATTCCATGGAATGCTCTTAACATCCTGATAGCAATGAATACATGAAATGCTTTGACAATACACTACATACATAAACAATTTTCATCTGTGGAAGCCGTAGTATTGTAAAAAGCACGACCAGTTATTTTAGCCGGCCCGTTCCGGCTAAAATGACTGTATGGCCTACCTGCCTGTCAGCCTTCCATCTGTGCACAAACTTATCTCGTGCCCTCATTGGTCATGTGCGCGTTTGTGTGTGTTGGAGGAGGGGATCTTTAAGGAAGTCTGAAGTAAGGGGCAGATTTTTTTCGGCTGCGTACTTTCAAATTCTAGCTCACTCGAGCTGGTTTCTCCATTCTTACCTACCCTACCTTTAAGTTAAAACATATTGAAACTTCCCCTCTATTTATAAATGTTATACATGAAGCATAAAAGAGGAGATGCTTATGTTTTTCTAAGCAACACACTTCAGGTTTTATTAGAAAAAGGAAGACCCGTCTCTTTTAAATCTAGCATAATCTGTGACATCATTCTAATGCTCCCCCAGGTCCCCTGGAGCAATGCCACAGACACTCACACAAAAACACACACACTCTACTTCAAAATGGTAGGGGAATGCAAACATCGTGACTGAGCACACACACAAATGCTGGGGGATTGCTAACATCGTGACTGAGGCAGCCGGCTCCCCTCAGCACGCACACACACACACACACACACACACACACACACACACACACACACACACACACACACACACACACACACACACACACACACACACACACACACACACACACACACACACTCATCAGCTTGTTGAAGTGTTTGTGTGTGTGCGTGAATGTTTTTGTCTGCTGGCTTTAGAAGTACAACAGATCACACTCGGTCCGGGATGAAAGTGCTCTTCTATTCAGGCGACATCATGCATCTGCCTCCATATTCATCAAGTACTTCAGCATGGTGCAGATTTATTGCAAACCAACCAGTGACCCTCTGTAATAAGTAGTAATGAGTTGTTATGAACTGCAGTGTCTAACAACTCATTATGCTGTTAAATGCTGCCTCCTGTTGGTCCAAAACACTGTTTATTTCAATGTTTTAACCTTCACATTGCTTACTTGTACTTGAACATTGACAATTTGTTTTGCATGGTTTGTTTGCTTGTATGTCTTCAATACTACTTACTACTGGCCATTTTTATGAAAAAAATGGTGAGAAAGGACACTTGCTGCCAGGGTTCGAGTTATAATCTGAGCTTTATGGGGGTCTATAAAACTAACGCGTGCACACACACACACACACACACAGCAGCAGCAGCCCTCTACTTGCTACAAACTTAAATATGAAAAGGTTCAACTACGCACACCACATAACACATCATCTCGGTTCGCGCAGCACGCTCACAGGCATAGATTGCGCAATAATTAATTGCGCACCTTGGAGGTGAAGTGCAGGCATATTGTCATTCAAGAGAGAATACGATGCGTAGTTCTTTTGGAAAACATGTTTTTATTTTAGCCTATTTACCTCGTTAATGTAAATTATACTCATTATTATGTTGATATATTGTGATTTTAAGGGTGTCTATTACCATCTGGCCGGGGACAACAGCTGGAAATTAGCCATGTCGGCTAAAGCTGCTCCATTTACTGTTTTTGTGACAGTTCATCGATAGGGACTGTCCACGACACTATAAATAAATAAACTAAACTAAATTACATTGACACTTGCATTATTTGTGATTAAAATAATAGTTGTTGGTAATGTATTAGCGATCCCCACAGATGTATGATTTCACTGCTTTCATGGGAGCTCAGACCCCTCCTTATGGGAGCTCAGCTCCCATTGGCTCCCACAGAACTCGAACCCTGCTTGCTGCATTCATGTGGTGTCAGAATTATCGTGAAATTGTTCTCCACTGGTTAATGCCCAGATAGAAACAACAACCTTCTTAAGTCTAGCCAAGTCTCCTCATATTACACGAAAATCATGGTAGAGAGTGAATTTGGGGTTAATGATTCTCAACAATAAAATATTTTTTGGCATCCATGTTGTTTCCAAGTTTTAAGCTCAAAACAGTCGGAACAGTCGTAAGATCAACTTCCCATATTCTGTAAATGGGACCACCCAAGGAGCCAGTTAACGCACCATTGGCTGCAACAGAGGGTCGTGCTCTCTTAATGTTTGACTTCTTACATTAGACAATACCAGTTCATTAGGTCTTCATTAAGCTAATAGGACACTATATAGACTTTTTGCACTATTTTTTATTTAGTATTTTATTATATATGTTGCATTGTTGGAGGAGCTCAGGTCAGAAGAATTCCATTGCCATTTCTACACTGTAGCTTTGTGCATATGACAATAAAACCTTTGAATCTTTTGAATCTTTGAACTATAAGAATGCATCATCATTGGTTGCATCAAGTCTTATAATCTCTGTTTTCCGAAGTCTTCTCTGTGATTGTGTTTTTTCATAGAACTGACCCGTGCTTTGTTCCCTGCAGAAGAACCCAGAGTGTGAGCCATGAGCCTCTGAGGAGGCAGGGCTCCTCCACCACCAGCCGCCCCCCGCAGCCCCTCTCCGCCCAGGCCATCAAACACATCTGGGTCCGAACAGCTCTTTTCGAGAAAGTTCTGGACAAGATAGTGCAGTACATTGTGGACAACTCCAGGTGACTTGTTTTATTCTTCGCTTTCAGGCTTTGCACAGCAGTGAATCACAGCAAACCCACTCCAGGCTTTGTTGCAGCTGAATCTATTTAGTGATCCATTTTTATCCTCTGGTTGCTTTGTTCTGTGCTCTGTCTGGCTAACAACCGCTGTGTGATTCAACAAGCTATCCACATTTGGTGCATCAATGATCAAAGCCTTAAACTTGAAGTGCACTGATGGGTTCTCAGACATATGACAATGTTAATCAGCTTTTTAAATGGAGAAAAATCCCCCCTGTAACTGGAGTAGTGTTGTTTGATGTTGTAGTTTTGATGTTCCAGACTCACCGGGCAAAAAATGTAATTCATTTATTGAAGCATCCACGTTAAATGTCAAGATGTGTCTCAGTTCCTCAGAAATAAATAGCAAGTTTTCATCAGCCACGGCGAAGGCAATCTATCAGACATACAGCGACCTCAAAAGACCTGCCTGAACTTTGAAGCAAGTTTAAAGGGGACCTATCATGCAAAATGCACTTTTGTATGTCTTTTATACATGAATATGTGTCCCTGGTGTGTCAGGGAACTCACCAAGTGTCAGAAAACACAACCCTCTCTCTTTTCCTCCATACCCAAATCTCTAAAAACGGGGCTGCAACGGAGCTGATTATTATTTGAATTTTTCTGACGTCAGAAAAGGGGTGCTCCGCCTATATGGGCAACTCTCCACCTATCAGGGGAATAGACTCAAAAGCGCTGGAGACGATGTAGTACATATGCCAGGCCTGTAAGTGGCGCTGTAGTCTGCCACAAAAGCAGAATCAGCCCTTGCAAAAACAGGGCTGGAAAAGAGTAAATAGAGCGGAATGAGGCATGGCTAAAATGCATGATCTGTTTGGTATTTTGAAAAAATAAATATATATATATATATATATATAGAGGTATGGCCCTACAATATACGTTTCAAATATAGCATGATAGGTCCACTTTAACTAAGTCTGGCTTTACTGAGCTTAGCATTAGTAAATATATATATATATAGAGGTATGGCCCTACAACATACGTTTCAAATATAGCATGATAGGTCCACTTTAACTAAGTCTGGCTTTACTGAGCTTAGCATTAGTAAACGTGACGGGCCCTAGTCCCCCACACCAGTTTCATGATAAACCAATCACACTCAAATCAGGAAAGAAGCCTGACACATAGGTTTGGTTGACTGCTCATCTATAGCTATGGGTGCCTGAGCAGTCGGACTGCTTTTTCTCTTTGGGTTGTGTAGCTCGGCTGGTTTCTGGTTTGTTTGTCTTAGTTTTTTATACCGATACATGTTCACACACCAACACACTTCACACATTACTGATTAACTGACTGCACACTTCAATTCAAAAATAATTACTTTACTTTAGCAACGTGACAATTTGGGGACTCGTCCAGGATTTAAACCTCGGAACTATAGGGACAAAAGCGAGAGAACTTAAGCTATAAGATGAAGTGTTGATATTGTAACAAGTTATCTAATTTAGTAAACATTCAAAGTAATTTCAAAAACTAACATTAAAGCAAAAAATAGGCTTTTGCAGAGATAAATGTCAACATATCGGCAAACATACAAGGGAATTAGGGTCGGTAGGATGTGCAGGTTTGCTTATAAGTTAATGCAACTTGAGAGGCAGGTTTAAGTCGGAGAAGAAAACATTAAATCATGCAGCCTGGAGGGGTTTGTTAGATGTTAAGCTACAATACATGTGGGATCTTTTCATATACGGTTGTAGGGAAAGCAAATGGATCGTCCATAGATAGATAGATTTATTATCTTATCACATAAGTTCAAAGTAAAATCCAGAGAACAACTGCAGATAATGTGTCCAAAAAATTATAATAATACAAAAAACGACTTTCCATTATGCCTTAACAGCTATATGACAGGAACATTGTTTAGGCCAGGGGTGCTCAACCAGTCGATCGCGATCGACCGGTCGATCGCGGGGAGATTCCCAGTCGATCGCGAGATGTGTCTAAAAATAGAACAACAATATTCTGTTTTATCGTTAATGTCCTGTAACATAATCTTCCTGTGGCAGAATAATGCACTTGAACGCATCAAAGCTTTGTGATTGGCCGGCGTGACCCCATGTGTCGGGGCGTGGCTGGTGAACAGTGGGCAGTGCACTAGTTCGCTAACGTTGTCCGTAGGAGTGACAGTCCGCACACACACAAGACCGCAATTATGGCAGAAGCAAAACATATATAATTTTCACTCCGAGTGGGAGGATGATTATTTTTGTATCTATTCCAATTCAAAGTCCATCTGTCTCATCTGCAATGCGAGCGTGGCTTTATCGAAGAAGGGTAATTTAGGAGCGGCATTTCAAAACAGTGCACAAACGCTAAGAGACGGAATTCCCTCCTAATTCTGCCCTACGCTCCAAAAGGGGAGGGGCCTGAAAGGACAGCTACATGCACAGCAGTCCATTTCCACCAGGCCCAACAACAAGAGCAAGGCTGCTACCATAGCATCTTATCGTGTCAGTCACGTTCTTGCGAAACACATGAAGTCTTTCAAAGACGGCGAAGTTGTGAAAGAAGCATTCCTGGAGGCTGCCGATGCGTAATAAAATAACAGTAGCATTTCAACAGGTTTTTGATATGATAAAAACTCAAGTTAGATACCGTTATTAATCAGCTGTAAGTTTGAGTTTGTTTGAACTTATTCATTATAATTATTGTACAAAATGGTATAATAATGCAAACTTAAATTGATTATAGTCTATTATCAATTCAGGTTAAGAAACTAGTGTTGCTTGCATCCTATTTTAAAGGCATTTCTTTTTATAATCTACTAAAATGCAACAAAAAAAGGGTTTGATTCTATTCATTTTGTCTTTTTTATTGCACTTTGGCAGCAGATTCCTGTGTAGCTTCAGATCTGAGTTGTCTTATTAGTAAGCCTAATTTATACTTTTGTAGCAACACTATTTTTTATATAATGGCAAAGAAAGGGTTCAGAGTCTTTTCTTCTTTTCCTGTGTCATATGTGGCAGCACTGTTCAATGTTTTTTGAAAACATTACCCACTGTAGTATGTGACGTGTGAATAAACTCCAACTCTGTATCAACAACACTGTTGTGTAACTTCAGTTAAATACTTGTATGTGTGTAGATTAGAAAGAGGTAAGATAAAGGATCTGCAGTATTTTATGAAGTGTTAATCGTACAAAGGTCAGTTTTATACAAGAAGTGTGTATTTATCAGTAATGGCTACGCCCGTCTATTTGGACTGGTAGATCTCGGCAGACTGGCAACTTTAAAAGTAGCTCTCGGTTAAAAAAAAGGTTGGGCACCCCTGGTTTAGGCTGTTAAAAAAGTATCTTCTGTTTTTTTTGTTAAATCTCAGTTTTTAGCTTGAGTAGAGCCCTGGTCCATTATTTTCATGGGGATCTACTTGGTGAATTCTTAGCCAGTTTTAATATACTTTTTTAAAAAGTGTTTCAGCATTTAGGGCAGCTCAGGGTTTGGTTCCTTAATGTAGCGCACATCTCTACAGATAACAGATAACAGTACAAATAAACCGGCAGCGACCCTCTGGTTCCTGGGGCAAGTTATTTTCCGTTAATACACATTATTTCTGTGTTTCTGTCTGCAGTAAATATTATGAGAGGGAGGCTCTGATGCATGACAAAGTCTTCGGGCCCATCCTGGCAGTCCTGCTGGGTGAGTATATCACACTGTGCTTTAACTGCCAACATTACTGAAGGCCTGTTACACAAAGTACAAAACCACAGAATCCTGTTTTTATAACAAATCAACTATTAGATAAACAAATAACACTGTCGTTCCGGAAATTGCAATCATTACAATCACCACATAATCATCCTCTGGGCGATTCTTAAGGGCAGATCATTTTGAGCTTTATGTAAACACGCAAAAAGGTCCAAATATGTGAGAATTGAGGGTTTCAGATATTAAAACTAACCTGGAAGAATGAATGGTTTAATCCTATTCAACACATTGGGGTTATGGTTATCACAGATGGGAAAACAGCTATATTAGAACAAGTATCTTAAAACCTTATTTCTACCTGGTTAAACTTTTTTCCGCCGTCTGTTTCAAAGATCAGACTTGTATCCTGGGAAACCCCTTTCCCTCATGTTATAAACCAGTCATAGAAAAGGGGATATCAATCAATCAATGTTTATTTATATAGCCCAATATCACAAATGTTACATTTGTCTCAGTGGTCTTCACAGTTTGTACAGAATATCAGTATGACAATACGACACCCTCTGTCCTTAGACCCTCACATCGTACAAGGAAAAACTTCCGGAGAAAACCCACAGTTTTAAAGGGAAAAATGGGATAAACCTCAGGGAGAGCAACAGAGGAGGGATCTCTCTCCCAGGACGGACAGACGTGCAATAGATGCCGTATGTAAATCGAAAAGATAATACATTTACAGCATAGGTAGACCAAATGTTTGGGATAGATCCTTTTAGATGAGCCTAAGATCATTAATCACCTAATTTGTCTCTCAGGATCTCTGTTTTTTCAGCATTAGTGCACAGTTCCTGTTTTACAGTATTAATACTCAGAAAACAAAGCTTACCTGACTAAACCAGTTGAGACAACATGAACAGTGACAACATACCTTTAATATCCACATTGAGGGAATACTAACGAGATGCAGGTGAGGCAGAGAGCAGCTAATGAGGGGATCAGCAACAGGTGTGCAGAGCAGTGGCACACTGAGGACCCCTGGAGGACAAGTGAGGAACTGCTGGGTGAAAATATGCAATACAAACAGTAAAATCTGTACTGTGCACAAATGCGAGTACATTTATCCTGAGAGACAAATTAGGTAATTAACTATATAATGATGTTAAACATGTAAGAAACGTTTTGCCAGGATAATCTTAAAAACTTTTTTTATTTTTCATCTGAGAAACAGGTGGTACAGAATGTTTAACCAGGTAAAAATAAGGTTTTAAAAGAGGTTTTTTTTCTAACTGTGAAAACTCTGTCACCATATGCCCATGTTGTAAATGTTTAAAGACCAAAACCATACGTTGTTTCTTCCAAGTTAGTTTGAATTGTTCTCACATGTTTGTGCCTTTATTGTATTGAGAGCTTTTCACCTGGTAACACCCTTTTCCCGACCTGGAAAATAAATACATGAAGGAACTAAGAAAGATTATCCTGGGAACACTATTTAGATCAGACGTAGAAAATGTATCACCAGGATTGTGTTAAAACATGCCTCTCAGGGCTTCCTTTATTAGAACATATGATATACTATATATTTTGGTATTGTTAGTAGTCGGTTACTGGATGTGTTAAAGTGTGTGTGTGTGTGTGTGTGTGTGTGTGTGTGTGTGTGTGTGTGTGTGTGTGTGTGTGTGTGTGTGTGTGTGTGTGTGTGTGTGTGTGTGTGTGTTCTTAGTGGGGCCCTGTGCTCTGGAGTACACCAAACTGAAGACCTCCGATCACTTCTGGACTGACCCCTCAGCCAACGAGCTAGTTCAGCGCCACCGTATCCACGGGGCCCATCGGGGCCAAGACACCCCTGCTGGCCGCCGGCCCGCTCTGGGGGTGAGTGTGGGGGTGCTCCTCTGTCACAATCAAGAGCTGTTGCTGGAGGGTGTTGTGAAGTTAGATGAGTTGGCTGTTAAAACTCTTCTCTTATTTAGATCCGTAAGAGGCAGTCCAGCGGCAGCATGTCAGAGGACAGGTTTGCTGCATCAGCGCGGGAGTACGTGGAGTCTCTGCACCAAAACTCCAGAACACACCTCCTCTACGGCAAGAACAACGTCCTGGTGCAACCGGTAGGATCTCTGTGACCAGCTTTTATTCACAGTATCACTACGGTCTGACTACTAACTAAACAATGTGCCTAAAGTTGGTTCGACCCTTTAGAACCAGCTCCATACGCAAATAGATGGAATGTCTGTTCGTAATCGCACTTTTTTCGTCTCGTTTAAATAATGTGCTTCTTGACAAAGATAATATTTGAGCTGCTAAATAGTTGGCCTTCATGATATCTGTCTCCACTAAGTGACTAATTGAGTAAGTAGAACACATCAGTAATCCATGCATATTTAATGAATCAGATGTGCAGTTAAATACATTTTCTTGTATCTTTTAATTGTTTTCAGTTTTCATTGGAGCTTTTTCCCTAAAAATAAATAAATCGACAGTGTTTTCTTTAAATTATCACTCTCTTGAAATGTTGACATTTAAAATATATGTTTTCAGTGCAGTGAGCACCTAAAGCAGAAGTCCATTCACCTGCCTTGTATTATTAGGAGTTAGATATTCAAAAGATATAAAAAAAAAATTTTAATTAGGATTTTTCAAGATCACAAAAAGTGAGTTAATAATTGATTAGTTAAGAAATATATATATCCTCCAGTGAGGTATCCCATTCCATTGTTCTTGGTACAAATAACTCAATTACGATAAACTTGATGATAAATAAGTGTCAAATCCTAAATAAATACAAATATATCTTAGGTCTCAAGTAGAGAATTGTACAAAGTCATGCACAGGCGCTGAAATAATAACACAATACAAAAATATGAAATACAAGTACAGATACAGATACATTTAATATAACCTTATATAATCATTTTTAAATCTATGGTTGCTCTGTGGCAGACACTGTTGGAGATTTGGAGGGATAACTGGTCCGCTTTTCAAATCTCCGCGCGTTCCTATGAAGCTGGTTATAATACAGGAAGGAATCCATATCTACAAAGTAACCGTTAACAATAATCTACTTTAATGGCAATATGACAATGCAATACAATCATTACAATACAACATGATATATTACAGTTATATTGCAATGCTTAAGGAGTAATGCCGGCTTACTCCTGCTCTAGTCCGCATACTACAGAGCTACTTTCACCCGAGGGCAGCATGTGAAGAAGAGGCCGAACGCCAGGGATCCTCCGGAGATATACCAGAGTAAGAAGGAGGGGTTTGGTGTTAGGTCAGCTGGTCATCTTTTCAGGTCATCTCATTGGGAGACGCAACGCAGCAGGAAACGCAGCAGGAAACCAAACAGGCTCACCTTACAACCAAAAGGTCTCAAGGCCTGCATACCTACACCTCCCCCACAGAGCCATAAAACCCTGTTTACTCCAACCAGCCCAGAATGTTTATAGCCATTTGTAGTCCTTACATTTATGAAAGGATAAAACAGAGAAATCAATATAAAACACAAACACAGGTATTGTTTGAACAGTATTCACTTAACTGCTACTGTTGATAAGCACCAGAGAAACCCAAGGGACCTCTCTTAACATCACAAACACTGCAGCTAGATCTAAGTTGAATGCAAATCAGGACATGCTCTCCCCTTCCCCCATCTTCCTTTGTCCTCAAAAACACATGTCAACAGGCCCCAAATGCAGCTCACAGTTTTACCCAAATTATTCCCATTTTAAGCTTATCCATAGTTTGCTAACATGAATAAATACAAATATAACTCTACAAATCCCCCTTTTTATCTCCTTCTCCAGAGATAAACTTAGACAAGGCATTTTGAAATATACCCACGGTCATTCTTTTCTACTGTGTCCGTAAATCCATCCGAAGCTGGTATTCAGAGTACTTGAAACCTTCATGGAGACCGAACACCACTTTCCATGGCAGTGAAGGAACCCTGAGGGGGTAGCTGAGTGCTAGAATCATCAGCCCCCCCCCCCCCCGAGGAATAGCCCACAAGGACAGCTAATAGGGAGGGGGAGATGCAGCTTGCCCTTCACGGGTAGAACTGATCAGAGCAAAGTAGACTCCTCTGCTGCGCCGTCCCGGCTTGCCGTGTCTTTGTCTCCCCAAATCCGCTGACAGCAGCTTCTGGGCTGCCTGCTAGAGAGATGTCTTCCTCCTCCTCGTCCCGCTGATGGCGGCTTCCGGGTCGATGCTGTAGAGATGTCTCCAGGGTCCTCCTTCTCCGGCCCGCTGATGATGCCTCCCGGGTCGTCTGCTGTAAGGATGTCTCCAGGGTCCTGCTCCTCCAGTCTGCTGCTTCCGAGTAGTCCACGTCTGCCAGGGCCACGTCCGTCCTGATGTCGTCCCTGGTCCTAGTAGGTGGTTTCCCCGCCGCACACTGGCTCCCGTGGTACGAGCTGTCCCCCTTTTCTCCCAGGCAGACGGCATAAGAGGTCCGCTGGGTCACTCGGTCGGGGTCGGAGAGCCTGGGGTTGAGCCACTTTGTCCTCGTGCTTCTCGGGTCCCCCTTTTGGCGCCAGTGACCTGTGTGGAGAAATCTGATACAACTCCCTCAAGCCTACGCTCAGCTGTTTTGACCCACTTGGAGCCTGTTGGTGGGGTGTCTTGAAACAACAGCCGTCTGTGAACAGGTTTTCCAAATTAATTGTAGACCTCCTATCTGCCAGTGCAGCTTCAGAATCTTAATACTTGGATTGTGCCAACTAAATAAGAACCTCAACATCTTTAGGTAAACTAAATAACATATTTCAATAGCTCTGAATTTCTGACAAGCATCTGTGTTTATTTTTAAATGAAATCCTATTTAAAATCCAAATCTAATATGAACTGCTAATGTTTCTGGTAAAGAAACACACTAATGTTATGGATTCAAAAACAACCAAAATCACGATACTAACAAAGTGAATGATTTCCTGGTGATACTGCTTCTACCTGTCAGTGCTTAGATACTATCACGCTGAAAAAATGAATACAGAATTCCAACAAACTGTCATCAAATGTCTTTCTATTATAAATTTAGATGAAATGTATATCCCTATAATGACCTAAACAATAAAGTCTATGGCTCTTACTTCTTTACCAGGCTAGTTACAGGATGTTGTCTAAATTAAATTCTGTCTCAATACACTACTATGTTTTAGCTTTAACTGTAATATGTTCTTTCTACATTTCAAACCTCAGTTGCTCTAATGTCTGTTAAAATATTACAAAATTGTTTAACTATCACAGGTCAACTTCTTCGGTTTCACAGTAGCCCCTTGGCCACTGATTCTTTGTTACCTGCTATAATTCAAATCAATATTTAGAAACATCTCAACATTCATCAAACAGTATCTTATCCCCAGATATGGAGCAGGTTAATTACATTCAATGCTCAATCCTTAAAAGAAAAATTTAAATTGTGTATTTTACAGCCATGTTGACATTTATACATTATACTCACTCCCCCCTTTTTACACATGAAATCATGTGTAACAAAAGCCTGTAATGGGAGGGGAACAAAAACTGTCAGGTAATTGGTTAGGAACATAACGAACATTATTATCATTATTTCCACAGTGAACACTTCAGTGAAAAGAAGTGTTCCTCTCCGTCCTTCAGGCCTAAAAGAAACAGAATCTTCAGATTGTAGTTTTACATTTGCAAACCGCCAACTCATGTGAGAGTAAAATATCACATGTGCGGTTTCCCCTTTTTGTGGAATTTTTAGGAAACCTCTCGTTTCCCTTGGAGCTCCAAAATAATATGTTAGTCCAAAAACATGCTTGGTTAGTTATTGTTTTAGAATCATGCAGTTACACTGATCACATGCCGGCATACATTCACACTCACACTGTCTGGTTGTCATGTCAAGTTTGGTCAGGTTCACCCCAGAGTCAGTCATCCACAGTGCCTTGTCAAGTTACACTGTCGGTCAGGGTCAAAGGTCAGTTGGTCCTCCGTCTTTTTTGGCCATGTGTCGTGCTCTGCAGAGACTTTGACATTTCAGCATAGGCCAGTATCCTTTGTCTACAAAAATATGTCACGATTTCAACTATAATTTTCAAGATGATTCTCACTTGTCATTGGGACTTCCGCCTCCCACTTTTCCTGAAACTTGGTACAAAACTCACTTCCTTCGAGTACCACTACTAATTAAAATGTCTAATGATCTATTTCAGAAACTTGTGTACAATAACTATTATCTTGAGTCAAAACATTACTAGGATCTGTGTCGCTCTGCATTTCATAGCTCATTATAATTCTGGTCTACTTAAAAAACGATGTTAAACTCTTTAGCAGTGTGTGGAACCTTGGGTGTCCGAACATGCAACAATTACTCCCTCCTTTATCAAGGATTTAAAACCGAAGTCTGGTAATAACTATGCCACAATGGTGAAATCAACACTTTAGATTGGAATTTAATATGTGGCTTGGCACTAGCCATTAATACAAACAAAGATTTGTCCTATAGAGTGGTTCCTAAAACTATCCTTTTAATGGTGATCAATATTGTAACCAATGAGACCGCTACTTTATTCACACGTGAATAAAAATGTCTTAAAGAATGAATTGTTAACATGATGAAAATATTGAAGAATATGGTTCTACTCTGTCAGTGTGTTTTAGGATGATTATCATTTTACTTTAATAGTTTCCTCTTTACTGCTATTTTTAATTTACCAAATGATTAATAAATCTTTCTGTCTTTATGAAGTTAATTCAAGTTATTTAAATGTGCGTTTCGTGAATAAGTGTGTTTATGTGTAACTCACTCATTCCCGTTCTCCTTTCCTCCTCCCTGGTTTTCTCAAGCCGTGACCCCGGCCTCCTCACTTCTAATCGACCATGCCAACTCCTCTGATTCTGTCTTCTCTTCAGTCCATCAGCTGTTGAATCCATCCGCTGTAACTTTTGTAGGCCGCCATTGGCCCAGTCACATCTGCAGCCCCATCATGCCACTGTTGTTGCACTCCTCCTTTACAGTCTCTCTGCTGTTTTTATGGAGGGCGGATTCTGCTCTCATGTCTATTGTGCCAAATCTCGCGGCGCAGTTTGGAACTTCATGTCCTGTTTGAGGGACCGATGAGAGTTTGCCTCTTTGTCA